TCACTGTACAAAACCCTAAAATCATTTTAGATAATTCAATGAAATACAAATACAATAATAATTACAATAATAATAAGTACAGAAAATCTTTTAGAATATTGCACCTTTGATCAACAATTTAAAAAATATTCCTAAAGGGGTTAGTAGAACTCCTTGTCTCACATATGATAACTGCTGTCAGTGTACAAATGTAATGTCGACTGCAAAAAACTTAATCATATTGCTCAGTCTTTAGTCTTCAATGTTGTGTTTTGTGTACTGTTGTTTGTCTGTTTGTCTTGTTCTTTTTTAGCCATGGCGTTGTCAGTTTATTTTCAACTTATGAGTTTGAATGTCCCTTTGATATCTTTCGCCCCTCTTTTAATACCTTTTGTCAATAAAATACGGGAGACAATTACACGTTTTTCTTCAGATGCTATTTCTTGATCATTAAGATGCTCTATTAAGTTTCGTTACATTCGATGAAGGTTGAACACAGATGTTAATGTCTATACGATTTATCCCCAAACTGTTTGCAATAGTTAACTGCAAAATACTCCATCTATTAGTGAAATACTGAAAAATTAAAAAATTAAAATATTTTCCAAATTTGGATTTAGAAGTTATTCATTAAAAAGTTTTAAAAAATTCCATGAAGGTTTGACAAAGTTCTTGATGTCTTATAAAAACGTTAACCACAGATTGAACCTAAATTTTGACGCTCACAACGCAAATGACAATAGAATGTAGGATCTCTGCATCTCGCTTCCACAACTCTCGTCGTTAGCGAGATAAAAAGTTAGCATAAAGAAAGTCTTCCTGTATTTTATACTGTTGAAATTTGTGGAAGGAGAATTAAACATTGTTTGATGTCATGTCCACATTAAATAAGCAGAAATGTCCACGTATTGGTATTGGCAACAATTTAAACCGCTTAAATCAAAAACTAGAATATAAATCTGACAGTCACTTTCAAGGAGTTGCAGGTAAACAAAGTGAAATGTTTGAAAACAACTACACTAGACAACAGAACTGATCCCTATGCTTTGCTGTCAGGGCATACAAAACTATTGGATGAATCAGTATTACGTAAAGAATTTATCATAAGAATAAAAAAAAAAGTCAAATATACTCAATTATATTTAAGTATTCATAATACTATATTCATATTTATCTACATAATTTCAATAAAGTTCTGGTATCTGACTTATTATTTTAGGTATAAGGTACGTATGCTTTCTGCAAAAATTGTCTTCAATAATCAAATAAAATTATATCGACATAGAGTGAAAATGAATAATTTTGGGGGAAAGTGTTTCTGATAGTCAATACAGCTGTTGGTTATAGTATGCATTCAATCGGTCAATATTGAAATAATAGTGATTAGTATACCTGACCTCTGTTATACAAATTTAACTTTTAACTTGAATGAACTATATATTATACCTATTTACATAAGTTGAAGTGTCCAGGTAAATTTACTCTGATCCTATCAATTTACTTCTGATAAATATACTAGTCAACAAAAGTAACGATACACAAGTTTGAACTCCAATTTATCATAAAACATGATAATTAGGAAAAACTGTTAAATTATCCAATGAAAAACATTCATTTGCAAAGCAAATACATATGATTAAAAGAATCTGACCAAATAGTAAAGTGAGAAAATACCGTGTTATTGAACACATGGGTCAAATTTATTTTGCGGAAAATGATGACAAAAGTCGGCACTTAATTTCGAAGATGAGAATTAAGTATTCAAATATCTGCAAAGGCATTCAAAATTTTGAACAGACCATGTTTAAGTTAAAAGTTTTAAGTTCTAATAGCGATTTTTGAGATAACAAAAATTGCAAAAAAAAAAATTCGCGTATTTGCCTTAAATCAATGGTTTTGATAAGAAAATAACACTCTGCAAATATTAGACCAATTGAGCAATTATTAATCTTGGCAGAGTGTATCCAACTTCCTTATATATGGAAAATACATTGCCTTGTATAGTTTCTTTTGTTGACTAATATATATTCTAATTTCACTATTGTTTTATGACTATTGTTAACATATTTAAATATAATAAAATATAAGCCATATAGACAGACAGTTAAATAAATTATTAAGAATACTATGTGCTGTTTAGGAATATTAAAATAAGAAGATGTGGTATTATTGCCAATAAGACAGCTATCCAACAGAGTCCAAATGATGCTGATGTAAGTAATTATAAGTCATTCTGTCAATTCATTTGAAAATTTATTTGAAAAAAGACCCTATTGTTGTAAACCATATGGTGACCTATAATTCTTGCGGTGGATAATTGTCTCAATGTCAATTATACTACATCGCCACACATTTATATAGAAAATCAAAATATGGGAACCCAAGTGACACTATTTCTTTATAGAGTCTCAAACATTTTCATGTTTTCAACTCTTTATCAGAAAAAAGTAAAACACTTTAAAGAGAAAGCATCCGAAAAAAAATTGTCTGTTTTCATATAATAGCGTAAGCGGTTCTTTTTTAATATATCACATAGGATAGTAGTAAATATGAAACACTTCAACTTCCCGCCATTTTGTGTGGGATGAGGCATATTGTGAAACTCTTTTACATTGAATAGCACAAAAAGTGTACTTTTCTACGTCAGCATCATTCTGCTTTCCTGTTTCCATATCATCGTAGTATCAAAAAGATTTTCTTTAATTTGAATTTGTGTAATCAATTGATTAACGTCTAAATATTGTTGAAAAATTGTTTATGCAAGTAAAAAACTCTTTCCTTGGTTGACGGCCTTTACTGACAATTTCCATAATAATAACATTCTTTTAAAGTTAGAAATTAGTCAGCTGCCTGATATGATGAGTGTGATACTGACTATGCTACAGAATTGAGATTAATTTTCCTCCGCCCAGTATTTTGGGTCGAGGTTAGAAATTAACTTGTATTTGTCTGAATCTCTATCCATGAAAACTCAGTAAAGTTTTTCTTGTTTGACTTGTGAAATGTGCAAGTCGTAAATGCGTAGAAAAAAGTAAAAATAACAAAAATACCGAACTTCCTAAGTAGCTTAGTCATTAATTCTATTCGGGCAAACAATATGCATCGATGGAAAACTCAGAAAGCAAATCTTCACCCCCCCCCCCCTCCTCAAACACTATGAAGCTTGATATCTAATCAAAATATAGATCTGTGATTCCACTTTGCTCATCGACAAGTAAACGAATTACAATATATCTGAATTTTAATCAGATTAAAACACTGGTAAATTATAAAAATTTATATTATTTTTTTTATTATGAGAATATATAAACAAAAAGATCTGTTGTTGTGTGTTGTTATGTTGCTAGCTTGTTAAATAATGCACCAGCATTTCATTTTCTTAAGTTGTTCAAGGAAAAGTACTGTTTTTGTTTGTACATCCATTTTCTTGAAAAGAGTCAGTTATTGGTATATAGTTTGATATGTTGCATTAACAAGTATCTTGTCTAAGGGACGGATAAATCTTACTTTGTGTACAAAATCACTTTGATTCAAACAAACATAATTCTCTGAAACTAAATTTGTCAAGATGCTTGATATCTTGATTGACAACATATGTGCTACGTTTGGAGGACGTGTTTTTTATCAATCAATCGGCATTCCCATGGAAACCAACTGTGCTCCTCTTCTTGCCCACTTGTTCCTTTATTCATATGAGGCTGACTTTATACAGGAGCTTCTTAGGAAGAATGAAAAGAATCTAGCATTAATCTTTAACTTTACTTTCCGCTAGAAAGATGATGTCCTCTCACTAAATAACTCAAAGTTTGGTGACAATGTTGAACGCATTTATCCCATCGAACTTGAAAGAAAGGATATAATAGATACAGTTTAGTCTGCCTCATATCTTGACTTACATATAGAAATTGACATTGAAGGGCGATTGAGAACAAAACCGTCCGACTAAATCGATAATTTCAGCTTCCCAAATGTGAATTTTCGATTTCTATGAAGCAGCATTCCAGCAGCGCCTGCATATGGAGTATATATCTCCAAGTTGATACGATATTCCAGGGCTTGTGTTTCCTATCATGATTTCGTTGATAGAGGTTTGCTGCTCACCAGAAAGCTATCAAAATAAGAGTTCCAAGTTGCGAAGTTAAACTGATTCCTTCGAAAATTTTACGGATGCCATCACGAGTTGGTTGACCGTTATTGAATATCTGTTTCACAGATGACGACGGATTTGTCCTAATCGTTGTAACCACAATCCCGTCTTCTTTTTCTACGAATGTGACCTACCGAATTAGACTTATCACAGGCTTTGTACTTACATGACCAAAACGAAGGGTGCCACATGTGGAGTAGGATCTGCTTACCGTTCACGAGCACTTGAGATCACCCTTATTTTTGGTAGGGTTCTTGTTGCTCAGTATTTAGTTTTCTGTGTTGTGTTTTGCAAACTGTTGTTTGTCTTTTGGGCTTTTTTTTTGCAATTACGTTGTCAGTGTATTTTTGACATATGAGTAAAAATGTCCCTTTGGTATCTTTCGCCTCTCTTGCATCTTACAGGGGATGAATAAACATGATGTCCTTAGATCATCTTTCAGGTAGTCTTTAAGGTCGTCTTGGTAAAAACTCTAGCAAGGCAGTTGCTTCATTGCCCTCAGAATGGAAGATGCACTACTGGTAGTGTTTATTCTAATGCCCGAAGGAATCGGAATGAGAGTAATCACGTCACAAGTTTGAGAAGATGCCTTTGAAGTGGGTAATTCAAAGTTTTGTTTTTAGATATACCAAAATGACATTCTTTTAACTTGGAAAGGTGTTTCACTACTTTTTCAAAAAGTAAAATATTGGGTTAAAACTAACATTGAAGTTTTGTTTCCTTCTTCTTTGAGTAAATTGTTGTTGGTAAAAAAAGAATCAAACATCAAAACTGATCAGGAAATCACTGACAATACTAAAAAAGGTAAAATAGTTACGTTCTATAATATTGCTATATATATATATATATGTGTGTGTGTACCGTAAGGTCCTTGTGTACCAGCCATTATTTATCCGACTAAACAATACCCTTGTAATCTGCCAAACACCATTTAGGTCAATTTTAAGGTACTGGAACTTGTCATACCTTGATGCTCCCCATCCAACTATAAAAAAATGTTAGTTTAAAAAAAATTATAAGCGCAATATTTGTTATTAAAACATTTTTTGGACTAATAAAAGCTCACAACCCCCTAACCTTAGTAGCAATATACCAACTTTACCTGCATATGAGGTATACAGTTCCCAACTAATTCGGTATTCAAGAGCTTGCAGCTGCCACTCAGACTTTAAAAAACGTCACCAGTGTCTGTTAGTTTTGTTCACACATTGTTGTCAATATAATAGAATTTTATGCGACTGTCATACAAGTGAGAGGTTTAGCTAGCTATAAAACCAGGTTTAACCCACCATTTTCTACATGAGGAAATACTTGTACCAAGTCAGAAATATGACAGTTGTTTCCCATTCGTTTGATCGTTTGATGTGTTTGCGCTATTGATTTTGCAATTTGATAAGGGACTTTCTGATTTGAATTTTCCTTGGAGTTCGGTATTTTTGTTATTTTACTTTTTATACTCCACCGAGTATATGTATGTTGATGTGAAATTTCAAGGGCAATAACTCAAAAATGAATTGTCACTTTTTTCTAAAAGTTGAGCAACTGATATCCCATGACCTCCTGAACAATTCTTACTTATCGTAAATATTTTCTCTATCTTCTTCAGTTTTTGAAATAAGCCAAACACTTTGAAGTTAACTAAAAATTGACTTTTCACGGCCAATTGCGCCAAAATGGACTGTTTGTTTTTTTTAAAACAAATTCCACTGGATATCCTGCTGATAATTTTTACCCAGACATATTTGCTATAACTGCTTTATTTTTTAAGATATCAGCCAAAAACTTTACAAAACATTGATATTTCATGTGCAATAACTCCACAATGGGTTGTCGGGTTTTTCTGACAATTCCGGAGGAGTTAGACATTGACATGCTGATTAACCCTATGTCAGGGTTGCTCTTATATTAATTACTGCTTTAATTTTCGAGATGTGAGTCAAACTGCATTTTTACCTAATCATGTTCTATTTTAGCAAGAGCGGCCATGTTTGATGATAGATCAATCCCAAAATACAATTTTTAAACTAAATACCCCAAAGAACTTTCAGGTAAATAAAGGCAACAGTAGTATACCGCTGTTCGAAACTCATAAATCGATAGAGATAAAAACAAATCCGGGTTACAAACTAAAACTGAGGGAAACGCATCAAATATAAGAGGAGAACAACGACACAACAAAAACACAACATTAAAATGTAACACACACAGAAACGAACTATAATATAACAATGGCCATTTTCCTGACTTGGTAGAGGACATTTTAAGAAAAAAATGGTGGATTGAACCTGGTTAACTAACATTTGACCCAGTAGTTTCAGAGGTGAATATTTGATGACGAAAGGTCATTTGGTCTTTTAGGCTAGGGAAGTTAAAAAATAAACACATTTTCGAATTGTATTAAATTGCGTTCAGTAATATCACTGAAGAATGTTATGCAGCAGTTCGCCAGTCATCATAGAAATCACTGCAAAAAATAAAACGACAACGGACATGCGACGAATACGGACGCCTATAGCAAAAGCTCACATGGCTTTTTATGCTTTAATAGTATGAATTATCCTTAAATTGTTCTCAAACTGGCAAACTTAAATGCTGAATTCATATTCTTCAATTTACAGTATTCATACATGCATGATCCACTGTTGTTAACTCCATAATATAAATTGCCATGCAAGGGTACGGATTATAGAGTACCACATGCAAACATAAGGGGAACAGTCTATTTCGTGATGTTTTTTTTTTTTACATTTTTCCATGTTTTGTACCTGAAATAGTAGAGGGCACCCTTTTTTCTTTTTAGATTCTTTAATCATTTACATAATCTATATTAATATGCACTTTTAATTTTAAAAAGAAATATTTACTGATATAATATCAAAAATAATGTTTTATTACAACTTTGTTCTTTCTTTTCACTGCATTGTATAACGACGAATAGACTTCAAAACTTAGTACAACATGTTTAGTTTAAACATATTTTATTTACTCAAGTAAAATGCATTGGACATACTTATGAAGTCCACTTTGAATAATAATAAATAACAATACAATATTGATATGAGCATGCAATATTTCAAAATTGGTAATGATGACGATGATGATGTGACTGTACCGCAAATACACTATTCGGTATCATATGACAAGAAATCTCTCAGACCTTTTAATAAATAAAGTAGCAGTAGTATACCGCTCTTCAATAGTCATTAATCGATTAAGCGAAAACAAATCCAGGTCACAAACATAACCCGAGGAAAACACATCAACTATGAGAAGAAAACAACGGAACAACAGAAACACTGAACAACAAAAACAAACGCCAACATACATAGAAACGGACTATTTGATAACAACTGCCATAATCCTGACTTGGTAAAGGACACTTTAAGAAAAAATGGTGGGTTGAACCTGGTTTATAGCTAGCCAAACCTCCCGCTTATATGGCAATGTTAAAAATACCGCTAAAATTACAACATTACGTGACAGGAATACAGTACAAATAAACGCAAGAAAATCCTGGACAGAGAAACACATATAAATAATATAATAGTACATTACAACATATAAACCATAAAATAACAATGGACACCTCCCAGGAATCCACGACAGCACACCAGGACATGACAAACGAATTATAAACTGTGCGTCAGACGAATGTATCAACTTAAAAAAAAGTGAAGTATTTTTTTTTTTTTACGTTTATATTGTTACAGGTTAATTTCTAAAAATAAAACAGAATGTTTTATTGTTGACACGTACAAGAATATAAGATTAAGTTTGTAATGGTGTTATTTTATGTATTTTCTAACCATAACAAGAATATTAAAATGGAATTGTGTTTGTAATGGTGTTTATTATTTGTATTTTCTAACCATGTCAGTTTTTGTTCTAAATCAAAACTGTGTATAAACAAAAAAATCCTGTGCAAATAGTTGCTTTAAACTAAAAATCATATAAATGAAATAGCTGATTAATTATCTTAACTTTTACATACATATAGAAAATAAAAATAAAATAACTGTAATATAAGGCAAGCTCATGTAAGACCAAACAGTAAACACACTTGAAAACAAACAACATAAAACAAAAACACTGTAGACGAACCACGATTACCTAGACTATAACGACAAATAAGACATATGTGAAATGTACCAAAACTACAGAATTCAAACCACAAACGATAAGACATAACACAATATCAAACCAGACTTACAAAAGAAACATCATAACTAAATACATGAATGTTGGATGTATAAATACCGAGACACGTCGTACAGCAATGCAAATTCACACTCGGGAAAACAGTCATATTCGGGAATAGGTCACGTTCGGTACTTAGCAGACCAGACGACGTAGATGGTAAACCACAATCTAAGACGTGGTAAAAATGTCGCTAGATAGTTTAGACACAGACACATCCTATAGTTCAACCAATTCGTGATCGTGTCCAAAAAATTTTCAAAATGTCATTTTTAGTCTTTCCTCCACATAACTCTGTTAAAGCAGTTTCTGCGTAAGGAGCACACTCCTATATATGAAGTCCGTATAGTGTGAATATGCACGAGCATAGCGTATCAACTGAGATATGTAAACACCATACGATGGGGCAGAGGGTATGTTACTGCTGAGAAATGTGAAATTGATTATTGGGAAGTTGAAACCATCCCGTTTGTCATAGATTTTAGTGTGAAGTCGTCCATCTGTGTCAATAAACTCGAATATATGTTTAAATATAAGAACGTTTTGTTCATACGAGAGGTTCTGATTACCAGATGTTATCAACTTAACTTTCAATATAAGGTCATCAGGGAGCCATCTTAGATGTCATTAGAATTTTTCTCTGGTCTGTATATAAACAACAGTCGATAAGGAAATGATGTACAGTCTCAATGACAAGATGGGTCAGCAATTATATTGACTCTGAACAAGTCATGATTCAAGAAAGATGAGTAGCATCTTAATTGTGTTAGAATTATAGTAAATTTCTTCGGTCCATATGAATAGTGCTTAGGTACATCTTTAGTTATAGTATTTAGCCTTTTTGATTGGATTTTAAATTTTGAGATTTTGAAGGTACAAATCAGTATGATTCCATAGTCTAATAGTTGATGGTATAAAAGATTCTTTAGTAAGGGATAATCTACAAAAAGGAACACTGATATCATTGCTATTCCTCAAGGGATAAACAGTTGTGCTCTGTACACAGGGTGGAACAAGATTGCATAGATAATACGGAGCTTGTTTATATTGAATGTAATAAACATTTGTAATTTTCGTCTTTTCCTTGTGTCAGCTAAAGTTTCCCACCCAACCTTTTCATACAGACTTTCAGTTCTTGTGAATATAGCCAAACCAGTAACTTTTCTAGCAGCTTATAGCTGCAAACTTTCAACTTTTTTAGCATATCCTATCCCACAATTATCCCAAACCTCAGTTGCATATTTAAAATTTGGTCTTATGAATATTAAATAGAGATTTTCTTGATTACAAAGTTGGTACTTGAGTTTTCTCAGTATATTTAAATGTTTCGTAACACTAGTACATCATGTAGTTTATTCGTTAGGATTTGGTGTTTTAAACTGATGCCAGTGTTCTGTTTTGGCTAATGGTCCTTCACACATTCAAGTGATGAATTTATTTAATAGTACTTTATTACAGGACAACACTGTTTTACTTTCAAAAATCGTATTCTCTTGCAATATCTATATTAAGTTCTGGATTTCTGCACAATCACACATAATTTGTTTAACATACATTTTTATTTCAGCGTAATGACAAACACAACTTTCATTTTTTTGTGATTTTAGCTTAATATAACACTTGTGAAGGTTTTTTCTTGAATTCCTGTGGCGAAAATGGGTGTGCAGATCATGAATGAAGCCGGATTATACACGGCTTTTTATGGTAATTGTGCATGCTATTAATCAATTCAAAACATTTGCTCTTTATGGATAACACAGCTATGAAATCTCTGTATAGTGTGTTAAATGATGATTTTGCCAAAGAATTGTTACTATTTGATTCACAGATGTAGAAATTATATAAAACAAAAATCTTGCCCTATAAGTCTTTCATACAGAAAATCAATTTTGTACTTGTTTATGTGCTGACAAAAATCATTTTGGGCAACGCTTGACCTCTTTATTGATTTAACCTAAAATTTTCTTTTTCCATTTTTTTGTGCTAAAATTCCGTTATTATTCATCAACCTAGCTAACAGTCGAATTGAATCTTCAAGCCTAACTTTTAAATTCTTCAAAAGACTCACATCTAGCAGCAGGTTAAACAAGTAACCAAATCATGATACATGATATAAATAAATGTTTCATCTTCAGTCATTTACAGGGCCAAATTAACTCAAAAAAAAAAACCATCTTCTTTAGAAAAAAGTACAATTTTGTTTTATATTTTGATACATGCAATCAACAGTTAACCCCTTTTGAATCAATTTTGAGATAAAACATGTGTTTCATGTAGCTGAAGTGTCTAAATGTCCGACGATAGATTTTTCTTAATTTTCAGTAAAAGACTTCTAGGTCAATTAACTTTTAAATTTCAATATGAAAACTAGCGGCCACGGACCTCATTTTTTCGTTAAAATACATTGAAATTAACAAAATCACAGTTATTTGTATGGGTTATATAGGGGAAACTTAATTTTTCCTTATTGAGGAAACATTAAACGATAGAATTTGTTAAAATTCAATGAGAGAATTGCATTTCATAAATACTTCTGAAATATATCAAATAAAAATAGAGGGTAACGGGTCTTATTTTCTTAAAAAATAAAAAAAAAAGCACATATTGCCCTATCCCATTCAGTATAATTATTTGTCCCTAATTTTAACAGGACTTTTTCTGAAAGTTTTAAATACACTTAACGACACTTAATGTTTTGACAGTTTAATCTTTAAGTTTCAAGTTTTATAGATGTTTTTGTTGTATATTGAATTATACTTGGTAAAATATTTGTAGCTGCAATTAAAGGATGTTTTCTAAATGAATTTCAGATTAAATTTTCATTTTCAACACAAATTACAAATGTAAGCTGTAGCCTGGGTTATTGTTGAAGTTTGTATTGTAGATCAATATAAAGTAAATTTAAAGTAAAATATTAACCCCAAGTTTAAATCATAGTTCAATTCAAAACTTGAGTCAAATATTTAGTTCCAATGGTTGCTCATCTAATTCAACTTTGAGAAACAGTTTGAATTGAATTTTACTCAGGTTAAAGTCCAATTTTGAGAGACTACTCAACTTGCAGGTGTAGTTAGTGTTATTGCCTAAATTACACAGTCATTAGCAGTTATCTATGTTATTGTTAGATAATAAATACATTTTGTTAAATTCTCCCTCATAAATTCGTCCGAATTCAAAACATTTCTAATCTATCTACATGGCTAAATAAGAGACAAGTCAAAATGTACGCTTGGTTTGCTCGCAGTAACTTATTTTCTGTGCGATATAACGTTTAATAAAGATAACAAACAACATTACAATTATCTCCAAAAAAACACATCTAGCTCTTCTACACTAAATCAATATGATATAATGTAAATAATATACTATGCAGACCGTGTTGTACTTAGAACCTTTGTTCTAACAGGGGTGATCTGAGTCGGATCACCCCTACCAGATCACCCTACCTTGACTGCAGGCTTTCTGTTGTCCTGTAACATTTTGGCGAGAATGTCGAATACACAATAAAACTTAGAAATATTTAAGCGGAATAATGACTAACTTTCAAAATTTATGTAGAAAAAATCCACTAACTTTCCAGTGTCTATGCAGGGAATCGAACTCCAGACCTGAAGCATATGAAGCTACGATTCATACCCCTACACTAGGACGACTGGATTCAAACCCACTGTTAATTTAACATATTTAAACATTGTATCCAGGGCTCATAAAGGGTACTATACTATATAGTAATATATAAAGTATAATTTTATTATAATTATTGTACGGCGTTCTGAACTGGATTATATGAAGCGTAAGTGTTTTTTCATATAGTCTAGAAGAGCTGGCATGTAAAATAGTTATCCCACTCGGACTTGGTGTGTCAGTGTAAGATCTCCCTTCGGCCTCCGGCCATCGGGGTGATCTTACACTGACAAACCGCGTCCTCATGGGATAACTATTACTTACTGTGAGTTAGCACCTCGATACATACTATACAAGTATTGGACTTATATATATATGACTATAAAACCCCACCCGTAATACCGCCAAAGAAATATCCGTGCAGTACTAACGCAAAGACTTTTAATAAATGCTAATCAAACTAGTTCTACAAACTTGTTCTACAAACTAGTTCCACAGTTTCTAAAAATAGAAATAGAAAAGGGAAAATCCCAATATAACGGAATAGAACTAAATTAATTTAGAATTTACTGTATGCAATAAAATTTATCTAAAAATAGTTGATTTCTAATGTATCGGAAAAAAGAAAACTGATTTCTAAGTGTACATGTAAGCTATAACACTGAATTAGGGGGAAATCGCCGTTCAAGGGTAGTAACTACTATAATGATTTAAATGGCGATTTTGGCAATGCTAGATAATTGTAGATCTTCAATTACCTTATTTTTCATATTGCTTCGGTTAAGTTTCTTTCTATTTTGTTTTGTTTCCAAATAACCAATAATGCAAAAAAATAGATGAAAAAATCATCATTTTTTATTTAAAGGCAAAAACTCCCATAGAGAGTAAATTGACAATTTTTTTATTGAAAAAGTTTTGAAATAAAAAACACCAACTTATTTTCCAAGAAGGTATGACAATGACATTTTAATTGGTTCTTTAATATTGAAAATCGAAAAGTATACAGAGTGCCATTTATTAAGTATTTAACAAAGCTCAAATGTGCCAATAACAAGTTAATCAGAAAAGCTCTTTTAATTTTCTGTGTGTATGTCTCTCTTCAATGATATATGATATATACCTCCATTTAGATTGCCTTCTTGTGCAGTATAAGAACCATATTCTGTCGATGCACTCAACTGATCATCCCTAAGATTTATTGTTGATGGATTTATACAGTCACTTCCATCTGAAAGGAGACAGCATCAATTTAGATTTCAGTTTTTAAATGTGTGGGAATATTGGTTCTAAAATTATATTAATTTTGAATTTGATTAATTTGTTGGAACAAAAAAAAAAATTTGGACAAGCAAATCTTTGGTACACATGATATATATGAAAATTCCTGCTACATGTTCATGGGTTACATTATTTTAAATCAGTCTTTCTGTTTGTTGTTGATGGTTTAGGGTTAAGCATGTTCAAATGCAGGAGTGTCGCAAATTAAAACGGCTGTTATAAGGGAAATCCATTTTTGTTTACTAAAAAGTAACAAAAACCCACTTGAATTTACCTTTTTTTTCAGTACCAAGAGGCTCACCTGTCAAAAATGTATTTTTGAATTGTTGATCATTTTGGCCATTTATTGTTTCTACCTATCTAATTTCGTTTTCAATATGATATAATAGACAAAAACTTGAAAGTGAGTCAAAAAAGGCAATAACTCTTATAAGGATTCATCCAATTGTTTCAGTTATATTGGTTTTTATTTCATTTTGTATTGCCGGTCTCTTTTGTATTCAAGGTTTCTATATATCGTTTTTCGTTTTCCATATGATATAATAGAAAAAGAATTTGAAAGTGAGTCAAAAATTGTCATTTAAAGGCAATAACTCTAATAAGGAGGCATCCAATTGTTTTAGTCATATTTGCATTTATTTCATTTTATATTGCTGGTCATTTTTTTGCTGTTTACAGTTTCCATCGATCTATTAAAGTTTCCAAGATAATAGGCAAACACTTAAAAATTAGAACCAAAAAATATGTAAAGGGCAAATGGAATACTCATGTTTGTGGTTATACAATTGTTTCAGTCATATTTGCATTTTTTGTAGATCTTTTTTGTTGGGTTATTTTTGCTGTAAACAGTTTCTACATTTTTATTATAGCTTTCAAGATAATTGGCAAAAAATACAAAATAAGTCAAATCATCATTTAAAGGCACTATACCATACTGGCATGAACATACGGATATTGTGTTAATTGTTCTTTACGGTTAGCATTTAAATACAGTCCAAGATTAAAGTTTTTCATACATCAATAACTTTGTCATTCCTTTATGGAATTTTAGTAAATTTGGACAAAAGCTTATTTATGACCAAAAGTCAGTTCGGAGAATAATCTTTTTTTAAATATCTAAATAAAAATAGTGAACTTACCCGTATTTTACTGACAAATCGACTAAATATTTTACAGATAAAATTAAGATACAGTCTAAGGTTAAAGTTTTTCAGTCATCAATAAATTTGTCAAACCTTCATGGAAATTTACATAAGTTGGACAGAAGCTTTTTTATGATCAAATTAAAGATTAATATTAAAAATATTAGCAAAATGATCAAATTCGTTATTTTTTTATTTTCCATGTTTTACTGATAAAAGGACTTAGATTGTTTGCAGTTAACTAGTACATGTAGATACAGTCTGGGGTTAAAGTTCAGTATTTTGGTCGGTTCAATTTTGTGTGCTTTGTGTCTATCTGGTGAGTCAAAATGAAAATAAGAATATGTAATATGGTTGCTAATGAGACAACTCACCACCAGAGACCAAATGAAATAAAAGTTAACAACTATAGGTCACCGTTCGGCCTTCAACAATGAGTAAAACCCATACCGCATAGTCAGCTATAAACGTAAATGACATACACATTAAGTGTTTCGTAAATGATTGGTTTCAATCTCACTGAAATACAGATCCGCTGTGTCAGATTCATAATTAGATTGTTTTGAAAATGAATATTATTTTAAAACAGAAATAAAAGTAGCATCATGTGTCCATCTAGAGCTGTGAAAGGCGAAGACATTGTGCTGCAATTAAACTCATCATAGATACCAGGGTTAACATTTTGTACGCCAGACGCAGTATTTATTTTTGAATTATCAAGTGATCAGCGAGATTATTATGATGAGGACGTGATAAACTTCTATCTTTTAAAAAAAATCACCATAATCATATCCTGTTTGCTATATGCCCCTGTATGATCAATAACTTTGCAATAGTACATTCTTTATGCATGACGTCAGAAATTTAAAGGTTATAGGTTTTCTTCCTATTAGAAAATGTATAACTCTTACAAGAAGCATTGAAAAGGTAAAAACGTATTGTGTCTTCATAGGAAATATTTTCCATTTTAGTTTATTTACTCATTTACTCTGTCGTCATTTCTATTTTGACCAAACGACAGTATAACTAGTAAATCATGTCAAAATATGAACGATCTGTCTATTTGTTATAATATTTAAAACCACTCGATCGTTTAAAAAACCGGCTTTGTCTGCATTTATTTAGGAAACAAGGCGAAGCCATCGAAAAAACAGATGTATTAAGAACTTTAAGAATACAAATGTATGACTCATGTTTTAGCGAGGGGAGAAATCCGTTTGCGCCACACCTCATTTGCACCATGTAATGCTACATTTGCGCCATTCGTTTCAAAATACATAGTAATAGTTATACCAAAAATAAATTGAACGATTCTGCCTATTTATTTTGATGAAAAAAACTGACTTTCCACCTCCTTTATCCGGGTTTAGCTTTGGCGGTTTATATTTGCGGAGTTTAAGTTAATTAATGTTATTTAAAGTCATATGAAACTTCAAATCTAAAAAAAAAAGTAGAATATATTTTATATATTTGAATGGCTCAGTTTTACTATAAAACAAGTGTACGTGAACAGTCTTGTAAAAAAAAATCCTTCGTACATTTGTATTATGAAAATCTTCATAAATGTACTGATATTGAATTATTGTCTTCTCATACACTAATTCGCCGATATTTCGCCGTATTCAGTGACCTTAACTACGGGACCTCTTTGGTCTCAGAACTTCGGCCACCGCACAGCACAAGTGCGAGGGGAAAACCGTAAACAAACGTGCACTGGAAGGTAAATAGTAATCACTGGTTCTTTAAATTACATACGCCAAATGATTTAACAACTGTTAAGGAAAAGATCAATTAACAAATGGGAACTCATGGGAAATATAGAAAAATATCATGGATCTATTAGTTCATGTGTTTTTACGTGCTTCGCGTGCTCTTTGTTGATTGTTATCAATGTCAAAATGCAACACACTCGAAAGTTAATTAACTTGCGATCAACAATCACTGAATGAAATATTATTAGTCGATAATACACGTTATAGATTCGTTATAAATCTAAAAAAAAAAACGTGCATACATGACTTAAATAAGTATATATGCACTCATATGGTCTTTGCATCGGAAATAAACACATTTATTCTAAAAACAGTTGTTGGCATGATACAGGTTATGTTCTTCTCATATATTTTATGATGGTATGATACTAAACCCCAAACTGGAGGGATTGTTCTTGATTTTCATATGATGGAGACATAATCTTTCAACCAGTTAAATTGAAGTTGAGCTGGCATGTCAGTAACTGCTAGTAGTTCTTTGTTAATTTATGTATCATTGTCATTTTGCTTAGTTTTTTCTGTTACCTATTCTAACATCGGACTCGGACTTTTTTTAAGTTTCATGTGGACCCTTTGGATAAAATGGCTGCGTATACACCTCAAAATTTACTCTGAGTACAGACAAACTTGTGCATCTGGAAAAAATTTAAGGCATATCATGCCCTAGTTAAATAAAATTCAAATGCATTGCATGTTTTAGAAAACTAAAAACTTAACTGGATTTTCCAGTGCACTTTTTTTCGTTCCTGCAGAAGATGAGAAAATTAACAAACAGTTGAGTTTCACTTGATATGGTCCACTCAGGTGCACAGTTTAAATCACCAATTACTGTCAGGTATCTATTGTCCATCTATATTGTCCATGTCAATCAATACAGTTCACTTCAATTATTACCTGTGGGAAAGTTCTAAAACCTCTTTCACAACTAAGTTTATTTTGGCACCTTCTGGAGGAATGAAAAAAAGTGCACTGCAAAATCCTGTTAAGTTTTTAATTTTCTAAAACGTAAAATATATTTGAAATTTATTTATCTAGGGCATGCTATGCCTTAAAACTTTTCCAGATACACATGCTTGTAAGTACTCAGAGTAAATTTTGCGGTGAAAATGCAGCCATTTTAGCCAAAGGGTCCACATGAACCTTAAACTGAATTTTACTGTGCGCATTGCTGTGTGTTTGTTTGTTCTACATTGGCTAGAGGTATAGGGGGAGGGTTGAGATCTCACAAAACTTGTTTAACCCCGCCGCATTTATGCGCCTGTCCAAGTCAGGAGCCTCTGACCCTTGTTAGTCTTGTATAATATTTTTTTTATTTTGGTTCATTTATATCTTTCGGAGTTTAGTGTGACGTCTATTTTCGCTAAACTAGTACACATTTTTGTTTAGGGGCCAGCTGAAGCCCGCCTCCGGATTCGGAATTTTCCCGCTGTGTTGAAGACTCATTGGTGGCCTTTGACTGTTTTTTGCTCTTTGATCGGGTTGTTGTCTCTTTGACACATTCCCCGTTTCCATTCTCAATTTTAATTTTATGCATTGGTTCAATAATTTCGATAACATTATAATTACAAGAAACTTATATGATTTTAATAAGTAAACACACTTTAAAATAATACACAAAACTCTTTGCAGTCAGACAATTAACGTCTGAGTTCTCCTTTTGTATACTTCTGATTTTTTACAACAGAAATTAGTAGGGTGACCAGGCAACGAATTTTATCGATGTGAATAAACGGAATAACACACGACTGTGTTTTATATCATTGGAAAGAGGAAAACAAGCCTCATCGAAATATTGATGTCGTCGTTGTCTACAGTGTTTTTTTTCTTAAATTTGGGTCAAAAGTCAAAGCTAAGTTTCAATCACGCAAATATAACATATGTTGATTTAAATGAATAAAAATACCCTAAAAATTGAATTCGGCATGCAGTGAAACATTTGTTTAAACACGAAGCTTAAGGCGATAATAAACCTACAGTAACGCTCCATGGAGAGTCAAATGCTATACGGTGACCCATTGTTACTTGCATACGATATG